GCATTGGTGGTTTCACTGGCGGAGGCCTCCGGTGGGCAAGGTATGGCAGCCGCCATACCTTAATTTTGAGCAAAACAAAATTGTATACGTACCTATGTATCTTACGGTTGCCTCGCTCGTTTGTTTTGACCGCTGGCAGTTTTACGCTAAAGAAAGAGATGGGCCGACGCATCCAGCTAATTGGGCCAAGAATCGGTCGAGGCCACGCACGACTCGATCCAGCGCCCAAGCACGAAGCAGAGCACGACTCGATGTCTCGATCCAGCTCCACCTGCTAATTTTGCAAAAATACATATAGACACAGGAGTCGTAGCATAAAGAGGAGGCTCAGCGGCGGTGATCTGCCGTGATAGCCAGGGCATGTTCTTGGGAAGTTCTATTTTGATTATTGCCGGGGTATTTGATCCCGCAACTCTGGAGGCTATAGCCTGTCGAGAGGCTATCTCATTGGCGCGAGATCTTTAAGTCCAAAACTTTATCATATTGTCAGATTGAAAACAAGTGGCCAGTGATATCTTGAAAGGTAACCATTGGGCGTATGGGGCCATTATTAAGGAAATCAAGTCTAGATCAACTCCTTTTTCCTGTAGTTTTATTTCTAAAAGTCATGAAGTTAATTTTGAAGCTCGTAGGTTAGCTAAATATGCTCTTATTTTAGCTCAGGGGTGTCATTGTGTGGCTTGGCTAGCCACATGACCCATCTTGCATCCCATATTCTGTGGAATTTTGATCAATAAAGTGGCTTTTATGCCTAAAAAAATGGGGTCGAGCACGCACAACCTGATTGAGACGCACACGCACTCGACCAGACACTTCACCCGACGGCCGACGCGACGGAAACCTAACGAGCGCGTTCTAGACGCCATTGAAAGCTTGATTATCGGTATGTTTTAGGTTGTTTTTCTATTGAAACATGTCTACATTTTCATTGTATTTGGTTTTTCGTTTGTAGTGTGTTTATAGTGTGTATTGACTCTTTTGATTTGCATCAAAAAAGTTCTTTCCTTAAGACTTCGCCACACCTTAATTTTTTTTTCATCCTCCGCCTCTCGGTGGCTTGCTTTCAACATGCACGGCGGGGTGCATTCGTCATTGTAGCATAGACACTTGTTTTGCAGCACCAGCGTCGGCGAGCCTTGCGCACCCCGTTGCTAGTTTGCTAAAGAGGCGGTGCGTGCAATAGTAATGCAATGCAATGACGACATGCTTTGCAGCAATGGACCGTTGCGTGCATCTACTATGGTAGTGCAGTGGGTGTTGCAGCGGTAGTACCCCCATGTGGTGGGTGGTGGTGAGCTTGCAACATCTGTCGGTAAGGACGAGATGGACTGAGATAGAGGAGTGATGTGTGGTCGAGAAAAGAGGAGAGGACGGGGATCCACAATTTACGATGGCGACGTGGCCTCGCAACATCGGCGTGACAGCGCAACTTCAGAGCAAAGCTTGACAACAGCGAAGAATTAATGTTGGGGAAATGATGTGTTAGAGGAAGAAAATGACTGGTCGAGGGGAAAAAGAAAATATATTTGGTTCCCGCAAAAAGAAAATCAAAGATACTTGACTATGGTATATGTTAAATCTTTTCTTTCTTGAAATAAAACCACGTGTACTCTGCAATACTTTTTCTTTACTCCTCCATTAGGAAGAATGGAACGAAATCCTTCGATAACACTTCTACTTTGTCTGGAAATGATATCCATCCACCAAATGGCTGCATCATAACGAAAACAATTTGAGCCTTGCTCCTACACAGCCTTATCAAATCGATTCTGATAAAGGAAGAAGGCCCATTACGAAATTTTCGCTCTCCCATTTCAAAGATTTTACAAAATTATTGGTTTTTGGTGCTTTCTTTTCCTTTTTCTCAAATACGTACTCCGTAGTTTCAGATTGCTTACCGGTCAATTAATTTTCTTCTTCTTCTGAAATGTACTACTACTGTACCAGTCAACGGGGTTGGCGCACCGTACACATGCACGTTTTGCCCGCTGATCGCAGAACAGTCAAATACTCCTGTATGGGCCCACCAGTTTTTTCTTTTCTGGTTATCCATCCATTTCCGCACATGGGCGCACGAGGCACGCTTTGCAGCTGACCACCGTGTAAAGTTGACGAGTGTCGACGGCGACCACTCGCCCGCCACCGCCGCCGCCACCGCAGGGAGAAAGCAGTTACTCCTACTCCGACTACTGGTCAGACCCAGACAACGCCCACCCGCACGCACGAAAGACACACAGCGACAGCCAACCGAGAGCTCGATCGACCAGCCGGCGCGGCTATCCGATCGCGATGGCCACGGCGGCGGCGGACCCGCGGAGCGGCTACTGCGCCGCGACGGGCGCGTTCCGGAGCAAGCGCGCGGAGGTGCCGCTGCCCGCGGACCGGGACCTGGACGTGGTCACCTTCCTGGCCTCCCGCCGCCACTCGGGCGTCGTCGCGCTCGTCGACGCCTCCACGGGCCGCCGCACCACCTTCGCCGAGCTCTGGCGCGCGGTCGCCGGCGCCGCCACCGCGCTCGCCGCGCCGCCCTTCGGCCTCCGCAAGGGCCACGTCGCGCTCATCCTCTCCCCCAACTCGGTCCACTTCCCCGTCGCCGCGCTCGCCGCCATGTCGCTCGGCGCCGTCGTCACCACCGCCAACCCGCTCAACACCGCCGCCGAGATCGCCAAGCAGGTCGCCGACGCCCGCCCCGTCCTCGCCTTCACCACCCGCGACCTCCTCCCCAAGCTCCCCCGCGCCGCCGACGGCCTCCGCGTCGTTCTCCTCGAGTCCTCCTCCTCTCCCGCTCCCGCCGGCGCCGCCGATCCGCGGATCGTCGCCACAATCGACGAGATCTCCGCCACGGCGCCCGACCCCGCGCGCCGCCGGGACCGCGTCACGCAGGACGACCAGGCCACGCTGCTCTACTCCTCCGGCACCACGGGGCCCAGCAAGGGCGTGGTCGCCACGCACCGGAACCTCATCTCCATGGTCCAGATCGTCATGAACCGCTTCCGCCTCGAGGACTCGGACACCACGGAGACCTTCCTCTGCACGGTGTCCATGTTCCACGTCTACGGCCTCGTCGCCTTCGCCACCGGCCTGCTCGGCTGCGGCGCCACCATCGTCGTGCTCTCCAAGTTCGAGCTCCCCGAGATGCTGCGCTGCATCAGCGCCTACGGGGTCACCTACCTGCCGCTCGTGCCGCCCATCCTCGTCGCCATGGTCGCGCACCCCAAGCCGCTGCCTTTGGGCAACCTGCGCAAGGTCCTCTCCGGCGGCGCGCCGCTCAGCAAGGAGCTCATCGAAGGCTTCAGGGAGAAGTACCCGCAGGTGGAGATCCTGCAGGGGTACGGGCTGACGGAGAGCACGGCCATCGGCGCGTCCACGGACTCGGCCGAGGAGAGCCGCCGGTACGGGACGGCCGGGCTCCTGTCGCCCAACACCGAGGCCAAGATCGTCGACCCAGAGACCGGCGAGGCGCTGCCGGTGAACCGCACCGGCGAGCTCTGGATCCGGGGACCCTACGTCATGAAAGGTACAAAAATTAAAGTTCATGAACCATGTGGCCTCACATTATTATTCCGCCGTTTTCATGTTCCGGCATTTTCTTCGATTAGTGTGCTGCACGCTGGGAATTTAGAATGTCTCTCTGATCACTGCGAATTGTCAACACTAATGTGTTCTGAATTAACTATTAACAGTTTGATTCTGTTTTCCAATATGAACATATATACTACTCCGCACCGGCACCGTCAAAGCTAAAATGCCTAAATTAACAAAACGATTCGGTTTGAGTTCTAAATTATGCTTTCATTTTGTTTAGGGCATGCGACATTTTGTTCGATTAGCGAGCTGCATGCTGGAATTTAAAATGTCTCTCTGGATCACTCCGAATCCTCAATGTACTAAACATGTCCAACATTAATAGAAGAATTTTGTTCTTATTGGGAGTCCAGACCGCATGGTATTTTTGACAGACAACATGGGATAATTTGTAGTAGTTGGTAACAATCATGTGCGTCATGTGTGAGTAGTTCAGGATGTGTTTGAATGGTGCCAGCTTGACCTAATTTCGATGGTGAAAATGCCTGATAGCTCCAGTTCTCTCTAATGGTGCTCTGTTGTGGTATGGTTGTAGTGTCAACATAGAGCCAAAGCTCTGTTCGTCTTTTCTTTTGCCGGTTGTAGGTGTCACCTTCAGTTACTGGCTGTTATGCTGTGGCTGATGATGGTGTCATTTGTTTTCCGTTTTCATACTATTTGAAGCTTAGTGCAATAGTAGTACTCATAAAGGGATTTTTCAGACAGATACTCATAGGAGGCACAACCCAACCGCCCAGGTCTGAGTCATCTTTGCTGCATCTTTTGGTTCCCATACCTCTAAATAATAGTGGTGTCAGCAGATTGAGACGCATGCTTAAATTCCAGAATAAGTATGTCTGGCTTGGAATTATTTGTGTGTTGAGAACCGATCGCCTGTCAGTTGGTGGATGGGTTCACTGAACTCCCACCCGCCTTGTCGATACTTTGGAAAATGTTGATTGCATTGAGTGCAATGTGTCTTTTCCCTGGAATTCACTACATGAACTGTTTTATAACTTGAACAAATACACTAGTTAAGTATAGCAAATAAGTAGTTAGTAATTAACTTACAGAAGTGCAGAGGATAGTTAGTAAATACTACTGCCTCAAAACATCTTATATTTTGGGACGGAGTTAACATTCAGAAACAACTACATTAGTTGAGTACGCTAGTTAATGCAGAAGTTGTACCAAGGCATCGTTGAAAAAAAGAAGACCAAAATTCGGTTTCAGAAGAAATTAAGACTAAACTGAGTACTGGTTTCAATATGCACACATCCACATGGAGAATTTTTCAAGGACTGCAGGATCTCTTCCTTCATAAGTGAAGAATGTTTTCTCATGAGATAAACCTTAGATGGATTCATTTCCACGGCATCATATAAGCATCAGTAGGTTTCTGAGGGATGTGCTCTGACAAGCGACGGTTCAATAGAAATAGTTATTTCATTTTCAAGTCTTCACACTGTCCAGCTGCTAACGTATTGCAGAACTGAGAGTGTCAGGATCAGTAACATTCAGAGTGAATATCCACCAGTTCAGTTGCTAGAATATGGTAGCTCTTGCATTTTAGCATCCTAAGAAATGATGTGTTTCAATAAGTTATCGCCGTGTTTAATAGCACCCCCGGCAAGGTGAAACTTGCAGTCCAAAGTAAAAGTTATCGCCGTGTTTAATAGCACCCTCGGCAAGGTGAAACTTGCAGTCCAAAGTAAAAGTGCTCATACCGCTCCATAGACATATACAATGCTAATGTAAATATCGCATGTTGCAATATTGGTCTTCCCAGGCTACTTCAACAACACAGAGGCAACACAGTCGACGGTGACACCCGACGGATGGCTCAAGACCGGTGATCTCTGCTACATAGACGAGGATGGTTATCTCTTCGTGGTGGACCGTCTGAAAGAGTTGATCAAATACAAAGGCTATCAGGTAAAGATCACTAAATGGCACAAGCCGATATCTCTCCTGAACTTATGATTGTGTCTTGGCATCTGAATGTAACCTGTGTATAAATAGGTGCCCCCAGCAGAGTTGGAAGCTCTTCTGCTGACACATCCAGAGGTTTCCGATGTCGCTGTTATTCCGTAAGTGCCATCAGGATATTGGTAACCGGTTAATCACTTCTGTCCATATAGTTATGCCATATTTTTTAATGGTCTGGTCCTTTCTACAGATTTCCGGACAGGGACGTCGGTCAGTTCCCGATGGCCTACGTCGTGAGGAAGAAAGGGAGCAACCTATCAGCTCAGGAGGTGATGGAGTTTGTGGCGAAACAGGTGAGCAAAGCGCGACTCATCGCAGATAAAATCCAACAAAATGAACCATCTCCTTCTTCACCATTGACACATTGACAGATTTGTCTAGCTGATTCATGCAATCTCTCTGACCTTCTGCTGTTAAATGTTGTACAGGTAGCACCTTACAAGAAGGTCAGGAAGGTGGCATTCGTGACGGACATCCCCAAGAATGCGTCTGGCAAGATACTGAGGAAGGATCTTATCAAGCTCGCGACGTCCAAACTCTGAAATGTTGTTGATCCATCCTCCTCTGCATTATCCTCTGAAATGTCAATTGATTCATCCTTGACTCTTCATCATTGTACAATTATTTCTCTTTCACCCTCTGTCCCAACAGCCATGAGTATCTGTAAACTGAAGGATCTCTGCAGTTATGTAGTACATGAGGTCTCTGTGTAAATTCTTTCTATACCACATACGGGGACGGGAGGGTGTACCCTGCTTAGTTGTACCTATGCTTGAATAACTAAATCCAAAATAATTTTCGATTATGATGCGTAAATGCTGCAAGTGCAAAGTATTTTACAGCAGAGTACATATTTGGACGGGAGAACCTACCTGGTGCACCGAGCTTGTGGTGCAACCGCTGCACCGGATTTAAAAAACACATGTTTATAAAAAATATGGACTACATATGGATCACAAATATAAAACGTTTTCGATATTTTAATATGAAATACATACGGACTGAAATTGTAAACAAACATGCTTAAACGTGTGTACATACACTCGATTCAGAAAAAAAATGCAAAACATCTTATATTTATGAACGGAGGGAGTATCTACCATGACACAAAAATTCAAATCCAGACTTGATTCATAGCTCAAGAAACCAAAATCAGCTTCTAGAGTGTTAATGGGCTCAATTCATGGCCTAATTTTCAGAAAACTGCTATTCATTACTCTCTCTGTAAAGAAATAAAAGAGCACTTAGATCACTAAATAGTGATCGGAATGCTCTTATATTTATTTACGGAGGGATTACATGATTTTAGTGTTTTTCTTTAACGCTCCAGCCGAAGGATGTCTATTCACATGGGAGCTATATCTCGCTTAGAGCGAGATGGTAGCTCCCCTCGCCTGACGTGCAGCGCGACTGGGCTGGTCCATCACTGTAACAATTCCTTAATTTTTCTCTTTTTTATTTCTTTCACCGTTTGGGCTGGTTTTTCTCTGTTGTTTTCTTGTCTGATTTTCATTGTTTGAGGTTGGGTTTTCTTGTTTCATTCCTATTTTTTCTTATGGTTTTTTTATCTTCACCGGCTTTCTTCTGTTTCCCTTTTCTTCTTTGTTATACTTTTTTTTGGTGGTTTCATCGACTTTCATTTCATTTTATTTTTTTGTATGTTGGTTTTCTTTGTTTCTTTGTTGGTTTCACCATTTTCTTCGCCTTCCTTTTGTTTCTTTGTCGATTTTCATTAGCTTTTTCCTATTTTTTTCCTTCGGTTTTCTTAGTTTCTTTCTTGTTTTTTGTTAGTTTTCTTTCTTTCTTTCTTTCTCATTTTTCACTACATTCCAAATACACGATGTATATTTTTCTTAAATAAAAGTTTGAACACTTTTTTTAATACACGATCAACATTTTTCAAATACATGGTGAATATTTCTTAATTGAATAAACAGTTTTGCACACATAATGTATATGAATCGTATACATTAGGAACATTTTTATATACATGTTTACATTTCTTAAATATAGAATTATTATTTTTCAATATAAATTTAATTTTATTAAATGTATGTTGTATGTTTTTATTATACATAAAAAAATTGTTACATGTTTAACATTTTCTAAATACATGATAAAAAAATCATACACATTTTATATTTTTTGTATACATGATAAACATTTATCCAATACAGATTTATTTTTTTTCAAATGCTTGATTAATATTTTTTAAATATATAATCAAAATTTTCATACCATTGTATAGATTTCTCGTATATATGATAAATATTTTTCTATACACATTTAACATTTTTCAATTGCTTGATTAATTTTTTCAAATATTTATGTAATGGTTTTTGCAATATATATATATTCAGAATATTTGGAAATGTAAACAAAAGTGAAAAAAGCAAAAAGGTTGTGGCCTATCGCCTCAAGTGCTCGGTCGTGCCAGTGTGGTGCTCACCTACAGACTAGGCTGCCCTACGTTTCGCAATAAGCGAGACATAGGCACGCCTATCTATTCATCACACAGATGCATTGATGAAAGCACTATGGCATCCCAAAAGCCAGGGAATGCATCAAAAGTTTGAGTTTCTTTTTTGAGAAATTACAACAAAAGTTCTCTCCAAACAGGCTCTCATTTATAAAAAAAGAGTTTAAGTAGAAGTATGTAGATCAATGGCATCTTTTCCACACAATTGGGCCGCAATGTTAGCACTATGCCCAACAAAAATAAGCTAAAAACCATGGAAATTTGAGGTAGACTCCTCATCTACAGCAACACATGAACGAGAGATTATCGCCCTTCCATTGCTGATTCCCATAGCCATAGGCACTGACTGACTTGGCAGTTGATCTCCAACATGAGGTTCTATACTCCCAGCTGAGCCGCTGCCAGTAAGGCACGTGGACATTTCAAGAGCTCCCCAGAGAGAGGGGCGAGTATGTCATCACAACAAACCACTTACATAATCCCATGATATTATTTAAAAAAATCAAATTTAAATGTTTCAACAAATTATAATCATAAATGTTCAAAACATATGTGCCTAACCCTTGAAATTTCCATATCCAAATTTGATATACGCATTGACAAACAAGAAAGACAAATCCAGATGTGAATAGTGTAGATTTTCACATTATTCATGTTTTTGTCTTTATTGACACTATTCATGTTGATTTTGTCTTTTTTGCTTCTATATATGTACTTTGAATTTGGATCTGCATTTTTTAGGGTTAGTAGACACATGTGTTGTGAACATTCACAAATTTTCTTGGAATTTTTTGAATAATTTAAATTTGTTTTTTTTTGAATTGGTAACATGAGACCATCTAAGTGGTGCTATCGCCTTATATTCATCCCATGGCCTAGAAACCCCACACCAGTGCGCACGAAATGCTTCATCCATTTTTTGACATGGTAAATATATGTTGTACTGCTAAATTATTTTCAATTTCTAACAAGTGTTTTTCTGAACTGGGTGTACGGGTTGCACTGGATATGTTCATTTGGACTGCCCATTTTACAATCCTATATCTTTTCGGACAACAGGGAGTTTACTGAAGTATTCACGAGATGCCACTCAGCGGTGTGGAAAGCAATCACATGCCAAAATAGCAAAGAAAAAGAAGCATATTCGTAAGATTTCTTATTGGTTACTAGTAAGATGCCCGTGCTACGCTACGGGATCAAAAAAGATAAGGTGGACCTAAGTTATAGTCAGGAACTCATACATTGATTAAAGTAGTGATATATTATTATTGATAAATAGACATCGAGCACAATCAAACATATGTTTTTTAATCGATGAACCCCTTCGTCATGAAGCCAAACTCTTTATTGTCCATCTACATCTCGTAGGAAGACCTTCTCCCTACTCAACTCTCTAATTGCTCGCTCTATCCTATATCAAGGGGAGAGCATGCGGCAAATATAAAATTCGTCTACACACGTAGCAACTTACACACGTAGCAACTGTGACAACATTCACCAGCTTTATCTCTTCATTTGCCTGTCTTTGGCTTCTGTTTGCTTAACATGGACTACAACTCCAGCCCGCACACAATTATCTGCTAGAAATGGTAAAGACATTGAGCACCTCACAAACATATCACATCCAGTAACAAGCCACGATAACTCACATGAGAAAAGAGAAAACAATAAAATAAAACACTTGGTGCATAACTTGCATACATGAGTACATACAAGTACAACCAAAATAATCGGGCTCCATAAGCAAGATTACTATGGCAAAATGATGTGCCATGTGCCAGCATCCTTCGAATAGTGGCTTCGTCAAATGCAAGCCCTGTGAACTCCTCTTTAGTTGTTTGCTCAAAACATTTATGCCAACCATATTAGTTTTGGGCCTCTCACATCATCCATCTGCTCACCTAAAAAGAATAAAGGATATTAGACAATCAATACAGCATACGTAACAGTCAGGTATATTCAGGGAAAGAAACAAATATTAGCCTGTAGATGGTTTGTAGTATATTTAGTCAAGGAAAAAACAATGAATAACACTTGCAATACATTTTGTACCAAGCAAAGGAACAAAATGTACAGTAAAACATGCTTTTGAATCATGTGTATATATAGAAGGGGCGAATGCACATGCACATATTATGCATACAAAAACATCAGTACTGGCCCTCTTTTCACTTTCTTGCATCAACCAGGTTTCCACACATACACAAAAAAAAAGATGCCGATAATAGACAGCAAGGAAATAAATATTCGAGGTGTGAATTGAAATTTTTGATGTGGAGCTACCAAGCAAATGAGGGGCGTCGATGAAAAACGGCCTGCTGTAGGTGTCATCCAAAATTATTTGAACAGTGGAAGTAATAAAGAAAACTACCAAAAACAATTTGAATACATGTATAATATTTTCTGCAAAAAATATCATGAACGCTAATGCAAGCATCTTAGTTGTTTTTCTTAAAGTCCTCTACACAAACTTCAGAACCATAATAGCTGGCAAGCAATTTTAGATGATTGACCCTAGTAATCTAGATAGATTGAATTTCTACAGCCATCGAATTGTACTTGAGTGATTCATACCTTGAACTACACGCTGAGAACTTCTTTGTAGACTATGTTCTTTGTAAAATTTGCATTGGAGTTGGTTTGGCCTTCCTTTTGCTTTTCTGGGACAGTAAGAATCTTCATATTACTTCTTGATATAGCTCTAGAAAGAGCAACATAGAGTTGCCCGTGTGAAAATACCGGTTCAGGGAGGTATACACCAACATTTGGTATAGTTTGTCCCTGTGCCTTGTTAATGGTCATAGCAAAGCTAAGCCTGGCTGGAAACTGCTTCCTCTTGAACCTAAATGGAAACATCTCATCATCTGATGGGCAAAGAGGAATTCGAGGAAGGAACACCCTCTTACTGGCATGCTGGCCCAGCACAATCTCAGCATCAATTGCATTCCTCATGAACCCTCGGACAATTAGCCTCGTCCCGTTGCACAACCCACTCGCTGGGTCAATGTTCCGTAACAATATAATAGGACAACTAATCTTCAACTTGAGGATATGGGGAGGTAG